AAGTGAAGACCAGACTAGCAGAAGTGAAGACCAGACTAGCAGAAGTGAAGACCAGACCAGCGAAAGTGAAGAAGAACGAAAACAGGTTTTTGATCATGATCCTGTTCAAGCATTGGTATCCTTTGATTTTGACAAGGAAGATGAAGACCAGACCAGTGTTAGAGAAGGCGAATACACATTCGATGGCGATTCGGATGGAGTTGACTATTATTTTAAAAACATTTCATTTAAATGATAAAAAAGAGCAATAAAAAAGAGAAAGATTTGTTGGTTAACTTAACTTGATCGGTATCATCGCAGCTGCAGTTGGGAATAATTTGAAACATTTTTATGATAATAATCTTTAATAAGGATACCAACTTCACCTTACGGTGATTTACAGAAGGGTCCTTAAATAAACTAAATAAAATGTACTAATTATAAATATATTATATAAAGAAAATAAAGAAAATATTTAGACTCTAGGAATTTACTAATTTACTAAAATACAATTGATATTAAAAATTAAATAAAAACCCTCCCCATTTAAAAACGTTATATAAGTTAATTAGTTAAAACAATTTTAGAAATTCGATTCTTAAAAAGTTTTAAATTTACTGCATTGCGTATTGTTAAACTAATACTGTTCCAGACTGAGGCGGCAAAGTTAATAGTTGTCCATTGGCCCCACCTAGTTTGTGCTCGAGAGGCACGAATATTATTCTTATTTCTTGTGTTGTAACTATGAAAGTCCCTGTTCAAATGAAACTCAAAATCATGCTCTAATAAATTGTTATGACATTTGTACATAAAAATAGCACGATGCTCGGCCCTTCTTTGTGCAAGTTTCTTCCAACTAAGTTTTTCTAAAGCTTCTCTAGCAGAAGCTCGATAAGGCAAATCTAACACAATTCGTGCTGCATTATTATGAAGCACCTGCAGCTCGGACATAAGCGTTATATTTCCTCTATCCCCCCACACTATGTCAGCATATTCAAAAAGAGGCAATACAAAACTGTTGAAAAAGGTTATACTAGCATTTAGAGGTAAAAAAATTCTTGATTCGCCTTAAAAGGCCTAACTTCTTATTAATCTTATTCTTAATATACTCAATATGATCATCCCATGACAGATTCTTATTGATTACAATACCTAAGTAATTGAAGGACTCGACTGCATCTAATGATTGACCAYTAAAAGATATATCAATTCCATTAACGTTACTTAGGAGCTTTTTAGTACTACCTATTAACATAAACTTCGACTTTTTGAAATATTTAAAGTAAGTTGGTTTCTACTTAGCCAATCCCAATAGTGCTATTAATAAGTTATTACCTTTAATTTTAATTTTTATAGTTGTACGTATAGTTAATATGAAGCCCAAAATCAGTAAAAAAAAATTTGTTGTAAAAATAACAAGTGCTTTTAAGAATAGTTTTGTGATTGTGGGGCTGAAATAAAAACAAAGACTGGGCTCCCTGTATCCCAATCTTACGTCACCATAGTAACCATCAAATTCAACATGGCGGATGGCGCGAAGTTGAAAGATCCAAAATGTTGTTGTCTTTTTGCTTTTTTCTCGTAGTCTAAACAATGCCTTAGAGTTAATAAGGATTAGCAGGAGCATTGCGAGGCCTAGAGGGTCCCGCTCGGGTATTTTTAAGATGGCTATGGAAAAGTTATCGATGATAAAAGACACACATAACAAAGCTATTACAGCGGTGACTTACAATCCCATGAAACATGAAATCTTGATTGGCTTTGAAGGTAATTTTGTTATGAGATTTTAGTGTTCAGTTTATTGTTTAATTTAGAAAGAGTTGTTCTTGTTTGTGGTAATAAAGGGTATTCCTTCTTCTTATCTTTTTGGAGGTTTCAAGCTTAAACTCTCTGACAACACAAATACCTTAATTAATCTTTAATTAATAAGTCTAAAGCTGAAGCCTAAATACTTAATACACAAAAAGATTTGTAGTGACAATCCACTACTGATGTAACTTGTACCAAAAAATACATTAAATTCCAATTCAATAGACCTAATCCACTGTTTTCCCATTTCAGAGCATGTGTCATTCCTTAGGAGTATATTTCGTTGTTTAACGGTTGCACATGAGGACACAAGTGAATATAGATACAACTCAAACAAAGAATCGTAACATTCTCAAGAGAGTGACACATGGCCTAAAATTGGCAAAACATTAAGCCCAAGTGGATTAGGTTAATATCAGTTGTTCAGTTAACCACTTCCCTAGTTAATTATTCCAGTGCCATAGGCATTATAGCTATGCCAAGCAAGCACAATATGAATTAACCATTTTGTTATATATTTATGTATTTAAATAATAGATGGTGTTATTAAAGTTTGGGACTATTCGGCTAATGAGCCAGGCAAGCTGTTACGAACTGTACATGAACACGAGGGATGGGTGACAAGCTTTTTGTTCTGGTTAGTCTAATACATATGATAATATAATAACATTATACATTGAATGTGATTTAATTTTTATGACTTTGACCTGATATTTCATAGTTTAAATTTCTTGCATTTCCCAATGACAATAATTATTAATAGGTAGCATTAACACTAATTTATCCCATCAGTGAGTGCAAAAGAAGATATTGAAGTTAGCCCTATAGTGAATATCTTCTAGGATCAAATTAGAATTTAGAAGTTGGATTTTGCAGAGGGAGAAAAACTGGAGAACCCAGAAAACCCTTGAAGCATAGGAGAGAACCAACAAACAGCTCTATACTAATACATACAATACTGAGCTTGTTCGGGACTTGAACCTAGCCCTACGCCACCCATGATTCACATGAAGCATTTTCATAGTTGTAGTAAACTGGCCTCACACTTCTTGGGTATCATGTTTGATTCCTGGACTTGTTTATTTTATCTCATTTGAGTGGAGATCATTAGGTCCCTCCTTTGAATCAAGGGTGATTTTATTATTAGAATTTTATTAGAGGATTTTTTATCAAGGGAAGAAAATTAGAGAACCTGTAGAACAAACCCTTGAAGCGCAAGGGAGTACCAACAAGTCTTGGGAATCTATTGGTCATGGCCACAGCAATGAAAGGCGGACACTAACTAAAGGCTTAAGTCAAACATCGAACTTCACACAAACTGAACCTAATGACATCTAAGAAGATCACCTTGTTATAAATTGTTTCAATGGACTACTTCGATGATATTGTGGATGGCCATCTTATATCCAGAGGGCAAAAAAAATTGTTACAGTATTGACTTTGATTGATATTTTTACTGAGCTCAACACAAGAGAATACAACAAAGATAGATTAAGACAGCCCATCAATCACCTTTACCAATAAAAAAAGACAAACAAATGAAACTATAGGTATTTTATTATATTTCCCACCATTTTTGTTTTTACAGTATCATAGAAGCAGTCCATGAGCTTCAGCTCATGTGAATTTGATTTTTGACCTGAGCCTAAGAAGACTATATATCAATGTTTGTCTTTCTTTTTAAATCTATGTATTTTTACAATATTATGTATATTTTTTTCTAAACATTTTAAGGGGAGATGCAAAGCTGTTGTTCTCTGCAAGTAACGATGGGATAATCATTGCTTGGGGTTCAGGAGGAGCCGTACATGACAGGATACCAGTAGGTTTTAATTTATTAGTCAAGAACCCTTGCAGGGTGAAAATGAAGAGCCAGGGGGCGGGGGAGGGTAACCTTCTTTCTGTTTGCTAGTTTCTACTACATTTTAGACTCTCAAGACTTCCCTCCACCCACACCACCAATTTTAATCTTATGGATAATTATGCTCCTCAACATTTGATAATTTGGTGTTTTGGCAATATGAGATCATATTTTAAAAAAATGTAGTTCATTTTTCAAAGCATTTTTTCTAGATCATTCATTTATTTTTTTATTTTTTTATTTGATAATTTAATTACCAACTCACACCCTTTTAAAGCAGATTTCTCTGGTCCTCTGAATGTGTGTTATATGAATTTGGCTTGACGTTACAAACAGATTTGTAATTTCCAATGACAGTTTGATATACTATTTAGATAGGCTCTCCAGTGTACTGCATGGCTTGGAATACCCGTCGTAATCAGCTGGTTGCTGCAGTTGGCTCAACAGTGCAAATATTTACTATGAAAGATCCAGGTACGATATTCATTACTTATCTCAGATTATGAACAATTTATTCTATTCTATTCTATTCTATTCTA